GAACCGCTTATATTAGATCTGAATTTTCAATTGCTTAATCTGTGCACAGAAAATGATTCGTGTGATATTGCTACATAACATTATTAATCTCCAAATTTTATATTATTATCATAATATTTAATATCAAAGTTCAGCATTTTCCCGTCTTAAATGTTAGCATAATCTTTTTTCAATCTTATTTTATTATATCTTTGCTATTAAAATTAAAAAATAATATCATCTATATACACACTATTGTAATTTTATTATTAATATTCCCCAGGTGATTTATTGCTATTGTATTCGTGTCTGAAATTACGTTTTTTTCCACGTGTTATATTAATTGTCTAAAGCGTAATCCGATTACAATTATGCTCTCTCCCTATATATCTCGCTTATGCTTATCGCAAGCTCGCTCATTGTGGTTTCACCTCGCGAGCCTTTCTCTTAATTTCCTCATTACGGTTTCGTACAATTGCCGGCACGATTTTTTTTTTCTGACGCAACGTCACAAAGAAAGAAAGAACGGCAGCCTCACTCCGCGTGTTCCGTTTGAAAATTTCGCGCATTTATTTATTCTCGACGGCACACAATGTCGCGCAAGCAATGGGTAAACTGCATGGGTATTCGCCACACCATGGCCCCAGCCATGCCCATTGTGAATCCGGGCTGTAAATAATACCGGGCAAAAAGCCCCGGTCCGGCGCGCGTCGCGACGCGCGCCTCATTTAACGCATTCGTCCGGCGGTAATTATTAAAGCCCCATCATGATTTTAATCCCGTGGTCGTCGGAAAGAGAGAGAGAGAGAGAGAGAGAGAGAAAAAGGAGCAGCCGCGCGCACGATCGCGGTCACAAACACCTCGTTAATTTATCTCTCCGACTCGACGGCCATTAAGAGAACACGTGCATACACTGCCGTGGTGTAATCTCTACCACTGAAATGCTGAGGATGGCGCAATTTGCATTGAAGCTTTATGTAAAAGCGTAAAAAGGATTATTTGTACATGTGGCATTTTAACTCGTCAGGATGTTTGCCCCCTTAGAATTTCATCTTTATTCAATCGTATTAGTCTCATAGCGCTTTATTGAATTAATTAATTTTTTAATTGGAAGCAGCACATTCTAAAGGACTTATTAACAAATACGTTGATTATTGACAGTAAATTAAAAATCAAAGGATTTCAATCTTTCTTTTTCTGCGATTGAAATTTTGACATATTTAGCGAAGCATAATCGCAACGGATTACGAGATGTAGTTTATTCCAATTCGCACATATTTCCGTAAAAAATAGGCGTAATTTTCTAATTTATAAATATGCGTAGCAAAAGGATAACGGTGGATTATGTGCATCGACTAGGCTTTGGCTATCTTTATAAATGCGCGATATAAATGCGGGTCTGTGAGAGAAGAAGCTGGGTAGAGCTTTTGCTGAAGTAGCCGCTGGCGAGTGGCCGCCTCTCTCTATGTCCATACATAGCAAGTCTTCTCTCTCTCTTTCTTTTTTTTCTTTTCTACGCAAAAGTGGTGCTGCTGCTGATGCTGCTGCTTGCTCGGTCGACTCCGTGCGTCTCCCAAAGGAAGAAGAGAAGAGAAAAAGATGAGCGTAATGACTAAATAAAAGATGGAGCGGCAGATAGCCGCCCTGGCGACATTACGGTGCGTGTATGTATGTCGACCTGACTTGATCTCGTGGCAAAAAGCCCCCATTTCACGCTCCGACGTCGCGTGGCCAGCGGGATAAAATCGCGACGAGAAAGACCGTACTGTGTTTTTTTTCTGTGTACGGAGAGAGCCTTATCGCGGTGTCGATGGCGAGTATCTTCGCACGTCGATGATGATATTCGATTAACGTTCTAGTGTATGATTAAAAGTGGCATTTTTTGATCAAAAAGTTTAGACTTTTATTATATAAATATATATTTGAATATTTTTATAATTTCTATTATATTAACAATCCTGTTTCCTTTTACAGGTGAAATAGCATTTGTGATTTCGATGGCAAGTCGTTTTTACACGGAGGAGAGATGATATCTGGTCAACATTACAGCGACCAAAGGTAACATATCTTGATCAAATTTAGATTAATAGTGTAATTTTTACTGGAAGGTTTATCGCAACAATTCAATTTCTTTTTTAAGAGAAAGAGAATTTATCTCAAGTTTTTTTCATAGAAAATATCTTTGCGAGTCAATAATGAAGATCGATTGATATTAGAATGATTAAAAGTTACATAATTTTGCCAAGATTTGAATTAAATATTTAATCTCGTGCTAAAAGCGTATCTTCGACTAGGCGTTTATTTACGATATGTTCCGATATTACAAAAACATTGAGATTTAGATATCTATATTATAAATCGAGAAATTGTCGATCAAGGAAAAGTATGTTGCCTCAACGCGATAGAAAACTATAGCGCTCGCAACTACATACTAAATCAGATAGAAGCAAAGCGAAGCTATGAACCGTCCTCTCGATCACAAAGTTAATCATTTCCCCGCTTTGATCATTCACCGTTACAGCCGGGACTTTCTTAGCAAATTATAGCAGATGATGCAAGTGTCCTCCCGTGGGAGAGGTCGCCTGCGTCTCTGCCTGAATCTCGCTAGGAGAAGACAAGAGTATAAAGGGATGAAATCGGGGGCCGGGTCTCTGAAGTCGAGGCTCAGAGGAGAGAGTTGTCGGAAGAAATGAAACGAATAAAGGAAACATATTATAGAGCGAGTCATACACGCGCGTCTCTGTTCGCGCGAAGGGGTGGGAATCAGCTGTGGCAGGTGCCAGCGAGCGCACCCGACGAGAGGAACGAATGGAAAAGAAGGAACGAGAGAGGGAAAAAAATCGCTCCACAGATCACAGACTACTAATTAAAAAACTCGGCATCGCCGACGCCCTTGCTCGTTCCCGCGCGAAACGTCGCCCACCCTTTTTCGCGAGACGACCGCGTAAGAAACCTTTCGCCTTCTCCCTTTCATCACCCTGTGTGTCACCGTCGCCCACCCTCCTCTCGCTACCCTCTCGAGAGCACCGCGTATCTCCCTCATCTAATAGCCAATGAGAGTTATATACGTCTCTTTCTTTCTGCTGAATTTTCTGCTCGGCCCTTTTCTTTCCCTCCGCGCGTTCACGCAGAGAGAGCGAGGGTGCAAATATATAGGGATCCAGCGTATGGTACGTTATCCTTTTCACAGCTTCCACAGCTTGAAGGAGAGAAGAGAAGAAAAGGATTTTTCACTGGTGGATCCTCTTTGAAGGAAATCTCTTAAACCGATTACTAATAAAAGTAGCGCATTTTCCGTAAGATCTTAACGTCTATTTCAATTATCGTATATATATATCGATCTTTAGTAGAGTAAGATATTCGTATTCTAATTAATAAAAATATATTATCTGCGAAATTTGGACGAGAAATAAAAAATTAATAAATTATTTTTAATGTAAAAATATTTAAAGGTCTAAATGTATCTCTGAGCTTTGTAATAAGATGCTTTCTCATGAAATTTTTCCCCCCAAAAATTTATCATCATAAATGAGATAAAGAGTTATTTAATTTTTGCAATACTAGATGACATAAAATAGAAAAAAAAAATTTTTTCTCATTTATTTATTTACTTAAATATATGTATTCACAATGCGTTTTTAATTATGAGAACGTATAGTGAGAAATTTTAATTTTCCAATATTCGGGTAAAGTAACAGTCGTATGTGTAATTAAAACAATAAATAATTAAAATTTGCATCCCGAATGGCGCGCATCGCGATATTCGCGCATTCTTTTAAACCAACAGTCATAGTGCATAAAATATCTAGACACGATACGCGTGTCCCGAATATGTACCAAATGTGCCTAATTTCGCATGAGAAAAGAAATTTCTTAGAAATGTTTTTAATATAGGTAATATACATTTCTTCGTAATGGCAGTTGGCAGTACTGCTGTAAATCTAGAGACGTTGACGTATATATGTAGACGAAGTGCGCGCCGTGCGGTAGACGAACTTTAAGGAACCTTCAAGAACCAATTAAATCGTTATTCGTAAATTAAGTTCGATAATTCTGAGCGGGCTCTCCGGGAAGTGGGTGCGACGTGAAAGGGTTGGTCCGATGGTTAGGGATCGCAACCCGACGTAGCTCGAAAACTTTGCAACTTTTCAGTCGCTTTTCATACAACTTTTCTTGTTAACATCGCGATTACAATTTTTTCATTCAAAAGCCAAGTGTGTATTTTCGACGGACGTATATAAAGGTATGTAACTGCTAACTTCACGTAAAAAGATTCCCGAGAAATTATTATCGTTGTATATTGATCTGAAAAATGTTTGAAAGGAATTGAGGAAAGAACCTTTTCCTTCAAGAGTAATTATTTTTAATAATTGCTTCTCTTATTAGTATCTTTATAAACGCTTAAACATATAATGAGCGTAATAAAAAAACTTTTTTTCTGACAATAACATCGTGCTACGTATCACATTGCAGAGAGCTCGGACACTTGCGGGATACGCAGTATGTATACATTCAAAGAACATCCGCGCCGCAAACGAGAAACGGAGAAAGAGATGGACGGGGGCGAGAGAAAGGGACAGGGAAACACAGTGGTCACGCCGGGTGCAGGGTGCATTGTAAAAGAGAATCCGCGCGCGATCTCCCCCATCGCATTTTCCTCCTTTCTCCTGCCTCTCGTGTCCTTCGCATCCTCCTCGTCTCTTGCCTTCCTGGGTAAGTCCTTCGGTCTTTCTTTCATCCGTCGACTTTGCCGCCTCGCAACCACCGCGTTTCCACCGTGCCTTTTTCAACCCGGCCCCCCCCCCCCCCCCTCTTCACTCTGTTTTCCCGCGTCGCGACGCGGCACATTTCCCGCGGCTTTTCCTCGCTGAAATTGCGGAAGCGCCGTCAGATAGGAAACCACATGTTGCGGTTTTTCTCATCCCGTAAACGCGCGAGATCTCCGTCCGGAGTAAAATCTAATGGAATTTTTTATTTCCCCGAGTTACGAGTCGGGGGCGGGTTTTTAATGAGAATCCGACAAGGGGTTTCGACGCGTCGAGTCCATCTTTCCGAGTCGCGTTCTTTTATCGGCACATTGTCGTTGATCGTCATTGCTCTTCAGTAAACGAGTATTTCCGCGTTTTATTCGCGAGCCATTGTGTATATGCCTCTTTTTTCTCCCCATCGACTCTCTATCGCGAACGAGAAACTAGATTACGATTTATTTGATTCAAGCGCACGCGTTTGTCGATATTCATATATATACGTAAAAAAAAGAACCGTTTATTCCTCCGCGAATAAAAGTGTTATATATATTACGTAATGAGAATATCAATTCTTTTTATATTTAAGTAACTATAAATACATATCGATAATTTTTTTCTTTTCTAATCGTCGTGAACTAAACGCAATATGTACAGCTCGACGAAATTTCTTAAAAATGCCCTATCGTCGCAGAGATTGTAGATATGCTTCTTTTTCCCCTAATCTTCCGTCCATTTTACTTCCATCAATGTAAGATATAATTTCGAACGTTTTGTCCTCTCTCGCTTGAATCTATGCCGATTTCGAAATAATCTTCTCTCTTTCTCTCTCTCTCTCTTTTCGCCCCGCACTTGAACGGTTCGTGCTCTATTTCTCTTTCTCACTCTCAAACCTCGCGCAACCGTCTTCGTCGCGCGCGCGCTCCTTGTTTTCCCTTATCTCACTCTCTCTCTCTGTCTCTCTCTCTCTCCTACCATCGTTTGGTCCTCGTCAGTTGTGTTCGTGCGCTCTCGCTCCCACCCGCTGGCGCGGCGTTCGTTCAGGCGCGCCTCTATCCCACCCCCCACCACGACTCCGACCGGCGTTCACTTCAGTCTTCAGTCTATGCCGAGTCGTCACGCGCACTAGTCGAAAGTTTTCGCGAGCCGGTTTCGAATCGTCGCGCCACGTCGCGTCGTTCGTGCATTCGCGCCCGTCTTATATTATATCTATACGCGATACGAATTCTTTAAAAATTCGTGTGAAAACGAATCGCGGCGACGGACGACGACGATGATAGATCCTCAGGGGTGATGATCCGGCATCGCGTTCCGCGTGAGTGCGTTGCTCTCGATCCGACGAAGAAGCGAGACGCGATAGTGACGAGTGTCGCGCGTTTGACCGTTATTGTACGTCATTGTTGGAGATTGTGACTGTTTTATTCCTTAACCGCCAGCCCCGTCACGTTACTGCGCATCATTCATCTCGCCACGTACGGATACACGGGATCGTCAGATCATCGTCATCGGATAGGACGGAGGAGCCGCCGGATCTGACCGCGACATGGACTTCGTAATATTAAAGGTAGGATTTTCTCTCCTTTTCGGAGGCACGCGCGACAACTTCGCAGTGTATACGAACGATTCGCTCGCTTTTTACTCGAAGGATATTATATCGTGATTGTGTTCCTTTTTTTTCTCTCGCGGCGCGAATTCTCGGAAGTACGCGTACGTGCCTCGAAACGCTACACACACACACGCACACACATGCGCGTAGAAAAAGTTCACTTGTTCTACTCGGAGAATATTATCGTCATTGTCCTGCTGTTTGACTCGAGTTCTCGGAAGCGCTTCAACTTTTCGATTCGCGTCGAGTTCTCGGAAATGCGCGCACATACACATACACGCGCCAGCTTCGAAGCACTGCTACATGTACACACGTGCGCGTATAAAAAGTTCACTTGTCCTACTACTCGGAGGATATTATCGTCATTGTCCTGCCGTTTGGTTCGTGACGCGAGTTCTCGGAAGCGCGCCAACTTTTCGTAGCGCGCTGTCATACGCACATGTATGTATAATACATGCGTACCTATATAAGAAAAGCTCGCTTGTTTATTCGGAGAATATTATCCTGCTATGTAACAAGCTAATCTAGAGATATCGCAGAGCATAAAGAAATCGTTTGTCTCGTTTGGAATATTTTCACATTGCTTATCCTATTCGAGAGATTATTATATTATATATCGTGTGATATATTTTATTTAATATACTATTAATTAAATATTAATAATATATTATTAATATATTTGTGTGTTAATTATTTAATTTGTAATTTATTATTATTATTTAATATATTGCTATCTTTACTACACGTAATGTGTCGAAATAAAAGTTTTCCGAGTTTGTGAAATTTGCGAGAAAACCGAATCGTCATTTGTGATCTTTCAACGAACAGACGCGACACGAGTGGGCTTTTTCGTGGAGGGTAAAAAACACCACGTTGTATTCTCGAGTATTCATCGCGCCAAACGTGCCTTATCCGCATCCATATCATGGTTCTTGAGACGAGTCGTGCACTCGGCCTGTGTGTAGGAAGTTACGAACATGTTGCGCGAACAAAAACGAGCAATCCACTCGTTAACTCGTTTGTATCGTGCCTGGCAACGCGATATCGAGCTTCAACTCGATTACTATCAAAATAATCATAGTAAACTTTATTCATTATGATCATTCTTTTATGAATTTGCGTGTGTGCGCTTTTTAACGATTTTATTTATCGAAATTTTTTGCACTGCAGGAATATTAATACATTCTCATTTTATTCTTTCATTTTTAAAAAACGTCTTTAGAAATAATTTAAAAATAGATTTTTATGGTTGATAAGTCTATTTAATTAATAATTAATAATCAATTATTTTATTTATCAAAATTTTGCACAATACTGCAGGAATATTAATACATTCTCATCTTATTCTGTTATTTTTAAAAAACGATTTTAGAAATTATTTGAAAATAGATTTTTATGATTAATAAGTCTATTTAATTAATAATTAATAATCAATTATTTTATTTATCAAAATTTTGCACAATACTGCAGGAATATTAATACATTCTCATCTTATCCTGTTATTTTTAAAGAACGATTTTAGAAATAATTCGAAAATAGACTTTTATGATTAATAAGTCTATTTAATTAATAATTAATAATCAATTATTTTATTTATCAAAATTTTGCACAATACTGCAGGAATATTAATACATTCTCATCTTATCCTGTTATTTTTAAAGAACGATTTTAGAAATAATTCGAAAATAGACTTTTATGATTAATAAGTCTATTTAATTAATAATTAATAATCAATTATTTTATTTATCAAAATTTTGCACAATACTGCAGGAATATTAATACATTCTCATCTTATTCTGTTATTTTTAAAAAACGATTTTAGAAATTATTTGAAAATAGATTTTTATGATTAATAAGTCTATTTAATTAATAATTAATAATCAATTATTTTATTTATCAAAATTTTGCACAATACTGCAGGAATATTAATACATTCTCATCTTATCCTGTTATTTTTAAAGAACGATTTTAGAAATAATTCGAAAATAGACTTTTATGATTAATAAGTCTATTTAATTAATAATTAATAATCAATTATTTTATTTATCAAAATTTTGCACAATACTGCAGGAATATTAATACATTCTCATCTTATCCTGTTATTTTTAAAGAACGATTTTAGAAATAATTCGAAAATAGACTTTTATGATTAATAAGTCTATTTAATTAATAATTAATAATCAATTATTTTATTTATCAAAATTTTGCACAATACTGCAGGAATATTAATACATTCTCATCTTATTCTGTTATTTTTAAAAAACGATTTTAGAAATTATTTGAAAATAGATTTTTATGATTAATAAGTCTATTTAATTAATAATTAATAATCAATTATTTTATTTATCAAAATTTTGCACAATACTGCAGGAATATTAATACATTCTCATCTTATCCTGTTATTTTTAAAGAACGATTTTAGAAATAATTCGAAAATAGACTTTTATGATTAATAAGTCTATTTAATTAATAATTAATAATCAATTATTTTATTTATCAAAATTTTGCACAATACTGCAGGAATATTAATACATTCTCATCTTATCCTGTTATTTTTAAAGAACGATTTTAGAAATAATTCGAAAATAGACTTTTATGATTAATAAGTCTATTTAATTAATAATTAATAATCAATTATTTTATTTATCAAAATTTTGCACAATACTGCAGGAATATTAATACATTCTCATCTTATTCTGTTATTTTTAAAAAACGATTTTAGAAATTATTTGAAAATAGATTTTTATGATTAATAAGTCTATTTAATTAATAATTAATAATCAATTATTTTATTTATCAAAATTTTGCACAATACTGCAGGAATATTAATACATTCTCATCTTATCCTGTTATTTTTAAAGAACGATTTTAGAAATAATTCGAAAATAGACTTTTATGATTAATAAGTCTATTTAATTAATAATTAATAATCAATTATTTTATTTATCAAAATTTTGCACAATACTGCAGGAATATTAATACATTCTCATCTTATCCTGTTATTTTTAAAGAACGATTTTAGAAATAATTCGAAAATAGACTTTTATGATTAATAAGTCTATTTAATTAATAATTAATAATCAATTATTTTATTTATCAAAATTTTGCACAATACTGCAGGAATATTAATACATTCTCATCTTATTCTGTTATTTTTAAAAAACGATTTTAGAAATTATTTGAAAATAGATTTTTATGATTAATAAGTCTATTTAATTAATAATTAATAATCAATTATTTTATTTATCAAAATTTTGCACAATACTGCAGGAATATTAATACATTCTCATCTTATCCTGTTATTTTTAAAGAACGATTTTAGAAATAATTCGAAAATAGACTTTTATGATTAATAAGTCTATTTAATTAATAATTAATAATCAATTATTTTATTTATCAAAATTTTGCACAATACTGCAGGAATATTAATACATTCTCATCTTATCCTGTTATTTTTAAAGAACGATTTTAGAAATAATTCGAAAATAGACTTTTATGATTAATAAGTCTATTTAATTAATAATTAATAATCAATTATTTTATTTATCAAAATTTTGCACAATACTGCAGGAATATTAATACATTCTCATCTTATTCTGTTATTTTTAAAAAACGATTTTAGAAATTATTTGAAAATAGATTTTTATGATTAATAAGTCTATTTAATTAATAATTAATAATCAATTATTTTATTTATCAAAATTTTGCACAATACTGCAGGAATATTAATACATTCTCATCTTATCCTGTTATTTTTAAAGAACGATTTTAGAAATAATTCGAAAATAGACTTTTATGATTAATAAGTCTATTTAATTAATAATTAATAATCAATTATTTTATTTATCAAAATTTTGTACAATACTGCAGGAATATTAATACATTCTCATCTTATCCTGTTATTTTTAAAGAACGATTTTAGAAATAATTCGAAAATAGACTTTTATGATTAATAAGTCTATTTAATTAATAATTAATAATCAATTATTTTATTTATCAAAATTTTGCACAATACTGCAGGAATATTAATACATTCTCATCTTATTCTGTTATTTTTAAAAAACGATTTTAGAAATTATTTGAAAATAGATTTTTATGATTAATAAGTCTATTTAATTAATAATTAATAATCAATTATTTTATTTATCAAAATTTTGTACAATACTGCAGGAATATTAATACATTCTCATCTTATCCTGTTATTTTTAAAGAACGATTTTAGAAATAATTCGAAAATAGACTTTTATGATTAATAAGTCTATTTAATTAATAATTAATAATCAATTATTTTATTTATCAAAATTTTGTACAATACTGCAGGAATATTAATACATTCTCATCTTATCCTGTTATTTTTAAAGAACGATTTTAGAAATAATTCGAAAATAGACTTTTATGATTAATAAGTCTATTTAATTAATAATTAATAATCAATTATTTTATTTATCAAAATTTTGCACAATACTGCAGGAATATTAATACATTCTCATCTTATTCTGTTATTTTTAAAAAACGATTTTAGAAATTATTTGAAAATAGATTTTTATGATTAATAAGTCTATTTAATTAATAATTAATAATCAATTATTTTATTTATCAAAATTTTGTACAATACTGCAGGAATATTAATACATTCTCATCTTATCCTGTTATTTTTAAAGAACGATTTTAGAAATAATTTGAAAATAAATTTTTTTATATGGAAACACGATATGCACGCGATCATGTGATCAGGTACAATATTTTGTAAATTAATACGATTGAAAGGGAAATATATACGAGATTATATTTAAAAAATTCGCTTTGGACTTAATTATATAGAAAAGGACGTTAGCTTTCCTATGATTTTATTTTGATAAAAATGATTCGAGATAAAAATGCGATTTACGCGGGAATCGATATAAATTGAGATAGGAATGTACAAAGCGTTATATTGAAATCGCATTAAGCTACATAGT